TTCCTAAATATTAGTCTGCTAGGTATGTGTTTGGAGGTATAGTCCGCACCATAACCACATATTAGGCTAACACGTGTGTAATACAGGCTCATTTGTGTGGTTTTGCAACCCAAATCGCATTCTATGTCCGAATGAATTCCAATCAATTCCAAGATTGCATTCACAGGAAAACTGAAGAAACAAATTATAGTGATTGATACCCGAAAAATGTTGCACAAAGAGTGGCTCCAGAGTGTGTTAACGAATATCGCCAGTTTAGTACAAATAGGTATTCAATTAAACAGAAAGTAAAAGTGTTTCATTATCACCTGGAGCCGTGGTGGTTCACTTGGTAATATTATAGGTAATATACTATTCAAAAAAAGTAGGGGATATTTGATTTTGGGGGCATAATACTAAAATATGCAAATGACTACGAAAAAAGTCACTATAGAACCTAACAGAAGAAACATTTCCAGTTACATGTGACGCCCAAACGCACCAATAGCTACCGCATGGAATGCAGGTGATGCTTGGGATCATCATGGGGGTCCAACCCAAGATTTGCACGACTCTGACTTTGAATGTTACAGTCATTGTGGCATTGAATTCCAGGGTGGAAACATCAGTTTAATTGTTTTAGTGACCAGAAAACAAATTTTGATATGCGTCGGCTTACCCAAAATGAAAGGTTACGTGCCCTTGGCATGCTACAGATCGGCACAACACAGGCGGTTGTGGCGCGGACGATGAATGTTTCTCAGTCTGTCATAAGCAGGCTATGGTCCAGATACCGTGATACACAATCTGTACAGGACAGACCGCGCTCAGGTCGACCAAGGGCGACAACTCAAGCCCAGGATCGATTTATCCGTACCTTGGCCTTGAGAAATCGTGTCATCACAGCAAATCAGATCAGCGCTCGTCTTCAAACAGACACTGGTGTGAGAGTGAGTGGCCAGACGATTCGGAATCGACTGCATAGGGGTCACCTTCGCGCCCGACGTCCTCGCGTGATCCCTTGTTTGAGAGATCATCACATTCAGGCAAGACGTCGTTGGTGTAGGGATCGTCAACACTGGGATAATCGACGCTGGAGCAATGTGATGTTTTCAGATGAGTCAAGGTTCACTGTTGATTTTTTGGACAGACGTAGGAGGGTGTGGCGTCGTCGAAACGAGCGCTTCCAAGACGTTAACGTCATCAGACATGATCGATTTGGGGGTGGTTCTGTTATGGTGTGGGGAGGCATCACTGTTGCTGGAAGAACGGCTTTACATGTTGTTGCAGGGCGTGTTACAGGCCAGTACTACCGGGACAACATCTTGGCAGTCCATGTTGTGCCGTTCGCACGACGTCATGGCCGCCGTTTCATCTTCCAGGATGACAACGCAAGATGTCACAGGGCCAGGATCGTTTACAGGTTACCTCCAACAACAGAACATCACCACATTACCTTGGCCAGCACTGAGTCCCGACCTCTCCCCCATCGAGCATGTCTGGGACATGCTTGGACAGAGGTTACGTCAACGTCAACAACGTCCTGCCAATGTCCAAGAACTTGCTGCTGCGTTGCAACAGGAATGGGACAATCTGGACCAAAATGACCTAAGACGTCTCATTAGGAGTATGCCACGTCGGATCAATGCTTGTTTGGCAAACAGAGGAGGATTTACCCGTTACTGACTTGGTTGTGATGCTGTGGTAACTTTGCTGTTTGACCCCGGGTATCATTTTACCCTTATAATGGTCAGTCTGTGCCTTACTTAGTCTAACGATCATTTGGAATAAATCGATGAATGTGAACTTCATTTCATTTTGTCATTTGTTTCTTCGTCAGTTTCATTAGGTGACTTTAATAACACTTAAAAATCAAATATCCCCTACTTTTTTTTAATAGTATATTATGATTACAAGTAAAAGTCGTTTCTTGATATTGTGAAACGTCGGTAATCAAAATCCTAAGCTATACATATACAACGTCTCACGAACTAGTTAAAAATCAACGAGTTAACTATTTAAAAAAAATGTTAAAAAGTCAAAATTACATTGTCTACAAATTAAAGATATTCATGTTTATATACCTTCTACGCGTTTATGCAACATGACACTACAGAATTATCCACAATTTTAATCATCGTTACTATTTTCATGCAAGAAAACGATTACAGATACCGTTTCTTTGCATAAAGCCAGTTGTCTCTGTTCATATACGAGTCCATAAGCTGAAAATAATCGTACTGAACTCAGAAAGAGATAGATTTCCTTGTTAAAATTTTAACTTTAATTTAACTAGTTAACCATTTAACTTCGCCCAGCCCTGTTCATGGACTATAACTCCGAAAGTAAATATTTGAAAGTCGTTAAAACCCAGTATGGCCGAGGGGGCTAACGACAATATACGACCACATTTCAATGTTGACGTATATCGCAGTAAGATGTATTAGATGAGTCAACAACAGTCATGAATAAGGGAAACGAGAAATGAATACAATTGGCGTTTTATGCAAAAAGATTAATTTCTCTTCTCAAATGGCTTTAATTTCTCATTGGATAATTGGTCAGCCGAGTACAACGCAAAATAAGAACTTGACTGAACCTATCTGCTTGAGTCCGCTTCTCGGATGACTTTAAGTTCTTGATGGATAACTTGTCAGACGAGTACAACGCTTACTAGTATATCTTATAAAAATCATAGTCGTGGGTTAACCTTTACGTTCAATAACCGACTCCCACAGAAACAAAGATTATATAGATCACCACATCTGTCTGCAATCGTTACCAGAGACATTATTATGGAAGGTTATCGCTGCCAATATTAAATGCTCTGCTAAAATGTTTTTTCGATTGATTATATGTAAAAAGTACAATGTACAAAGTCCTAATACCGGTAATGATTAAGTCAAAATACCTCTAAGACCAAAGTTAAATGTAAAACGTCAAAAGTTAAATGTAAAACGTCAAAAGTAAAGTGTCATATGACAAATGTTTTATTGGAAAATGTTGTTTTTTGACGAGTCAACATTTTACATTTGACCTTCACGGTTTCTACATAGCGTCTTAGGCACATCACTATCTTTGACATTATGCAATTGTAGGATATCACGTGACTTATTAAAGGAAACGACACCGAGATCAACCTGGAACACTATAAGCCAGCACACTAAAAGGGTATTCACCACACAATAAGAGGGAAAGCAAGCTGGCACACTATAAGAAATTCGCTGGACGACGGTGACTGCAACGAAATCTCGTGATTGATATGGCCTATCCGAGCCTTCGACGAATAAGATAAGTTGAAAGTATAGTTGTAGCTACTAGGTTACTGTTTGACAGCGACACATTTCTTTCGACAAAAGAAAGAAGATTTTTCTTTCTCCTCTAAAGCACGTAATCATGAATGCACCAGGAAATAACTGATAGATTCAAAGAAACATACTTTCCAGTGATAAATAATACAAATTTCGTATTACAGCCCGTATTTTGTCTTTTTAAACACTCTCCACCGTCCCTCTCTCTCTCTCTCTCTCTCTCTCTTAGACGTATTTTGACTTTTTCATTACAGGTATTAGGACTTTGTACATTGTACTTTTTACATATAATAAATCGAAAGGATATTTTAGCAGAGCATTTAATATTGGCAGCGATACCTTTCCATACATTATACGTCGGTGCTAACATGTTATTGTGCTTGTGTAAAATGAATTTGATACAATCTTCTGTAATTTTGCAATGATTCGACACAAACGTGTAGAATCGACCCATTTTTGAGTATTTTGTTTATTAATACAAATACTGTGTATTTTGTTTATTTAATACAAATACTGTGTATTTAATAAAAATACTGTGTACTTAGTTTAATTAATACAAATACTGTGTACTTTCAATATAAATTTAGGTTAAAATTACGAAACATAAACAATATGTCATTCGTGAGCTAGCTTTTACCACATTCACATTAAATGAAAACAAGTTTTAAAGAAGTTTTGCAATTGAATGGAATGCGTTATGCGTGGAAAATAGTTCGTTGGTTAGAGGAATTGAGAATGCATAGGTCTTTAGTGTGAACAACGGGTTTGCAGCCTACAACGTGATTTAAGGTCACCCCCATTCCCCTCCACCTAACCAACTTCCACACACATATACACACACACACACCCACACACACACCCACACACCTAGATGTTTCAGAAAGAGACATCATTCTTAAGTGTTGTTTTAACAGAAGAGTTGAGTGAACCTATCTGGGTATACATCCAATGCCTTGCTCGACTTTTAGGATTATTTTGTCTAAAAACATAAAACTCAGCATTACACAACTTCTATCACCACATAAACTGGCCGGAGTCCAGAACTCTTTACTTGTCAGTTTCGATTTTTAAAGAATAGAAACAACCTGGAATCCAGAACTTGCATATAAAAAAGTTCATATCCCTAAAAACTATGTTTTTATATTCGCATTGCAAGTGCACATAAGTCGTCACTAGTTTAAAAGATTTAACTAGAAAGGTTGTACGGGTAGGATTTCCACACTCTCATTCAAAGGTCACTAGAAAACATCGGTTTTAGTCCTAAAATAACTGTGTGGATGATGAGCGTTAACCAACAGATTTATATGAATACGTATGTAGCAGTTAGTGGAGAAGAGTTGTTGTCTGATGATTTTGTTAACAAAATATACAATTCCGTTGAATTATTTAAATCACAAACAATCTAAACTTTTAATTGCATTATAAATCTATATACTCTTATTTATATATGTTTATTGTTTTGGAATCTGAACGCAAAAATAGTTAAACGCAAAAATATACAACATACAACTAGAGTTTAACGCACAATGGTGTATTACCTCTTTACTGTCAATCTTAAAATAGATTTTATAAATATTTATACCATGTTTTATTAAGAATGTTACAACTTATCAGAATAAATGTTTTTGTATTAATCGGACAATATACCTGTACGTTGGAATATGATGACTACCAGATAAACAAAGGGAGTATTTATGACAAGATTCTAGAATAAACAATGCCTCAAAACAATTTTTCAAATAATCAAGCTAATTGCTTCAAAGCAACAAAAATTAAATTTGTCCTAGGTATTCCAAATTACAAAGGATTCTAAATTGATTATCGATTTGAAAAAAAATGATGTTTAATGTAATATTATAAGTTGAAGTTATTTAGGTTACTATGCTTTATATTTTTTTTATATTTTCACCCTTCGAAGTCCTTATAGTGGCGAGATAATAAATATACAACAGCTCTAAAACTAAGGATTGAATGATCAGAGATTGTATTGAACTTGGCTGCAAGGTGCAGGATAACACGTGATGGTAAAAACAAAACTCTACACTGTTACAAAATCATCGATATGGTGCAGGGTGCAGTTGGTAGGGTATTTGGTAAGGTGCAGTTGGTAAGGTATTTGGCAAGGTATTCTCCAGTATAAAGGTGAAGGGTAAACTGGAATAGAAAGGAAGGAAAACGTTAAACTAATACAGGGGATTGAAAACTGATTGTCTATAAACGGTAAACAAAACTAAATAAATAAAACGAAACAAAACAATGGATTTTTTTTTTTTTTTTTTTTTTTGCAAAACGCTAAATAAAATACAATAACAAAATAGTCTAGTACCTGAACTGTTTAAATGTATTAACTAACACACTAATGAATTCACCTACCTTGTGTCGATTGTACACATCTTCTCACTTCACTCCACTGCAAATATAGCCACAAAATCAAACCTGCCGCTTCAACGCCAGTTCATGTAAAAAATGTCCATTCTCAGGATGTGTAGTGTAAAAGTAAAACCACGTGATTGCTGCCTCTAAGACCCAAAAAATATCCACGCTAAAGCCAGCCTTTCATACCTTTTATGGAACATCGCGTGTTTAGAGCTTCCCACATATCTGTCTGAAATATAAGCTAAAGAGTAATTTATGGAGATTTATTTATAGGAATTTAACAATAATATCGGCGAACATCATAGGTCAATATTAATGAAATACAACTAAAAGCCCCCAAAAGCCTGTTCATATATCAAAACGGAATTTAACACGTACCTTTAAAATTAGCGCGATAAGAATTTAACATATAGCCCTTTTTTCTTTTCTTTTTTTCTTTACAAATATCTTTGTATCTGTGTGGGTATCTAATTAAAGATATTTTGATTTGGCTAATGAGTTGAAATCAAATATAAATATAACGTTTCTGTATAATAAATATACTGGTATTATTGGTTTTGATTGGTGTGGGGGGGGGGGGGCAGGTTAACGCCCTGGTAAAAGCAACTACATGTACTATGTACAATGCAGCTATACCAAATCAACGATGACTTATTCCGTCAAAATATCTCCCATTCGTCCACGTTCGGTTGGCATGATAAAAACACGGATACTTAATAGAACGCGTTGGTTTTGTATCCTTGCATAATGTGGCAAGCTTCAATTTCATCTTTCCTTATAGAGCAGACTTGGGCAAGTTAACTTTCAGGAATTTTCATTGGTTTGTTGTAAGATTTGAACCAATCATATAGAGCGCTATACTGACCGAGTACAGTAATCCTGTAGGTTATCTGGATGGTACTATAAAACGAGATATACGTTTGAAGGTTGTTCAGAGCAGCCTTTCTGACGGTAAGTGCTACTATATACTGTATGAGTAAGTTTTTTTTATTATCTTTATATCATTACAAGTTTCTATAAAACTTTATATAATAATACTACTTATTGTTTATTGTTTGTTATTCTATATATGTTATCATTATACTATAATTGCCATATTTGGAATAATTGCAATGTTTTAAAAGACGATGATTTTAGAGCATTATCCTGTAAGATAATAATATATGGATTATTTTGATTAATTAATCTGTGCCAACCATAAAGACTAAACTATTTTGAATGCCTCATAATTATAATACCTTGTGCTATGAGTTATGCACTAAGGTAGCAAATCGGAGTGTTTGGTTCTCATCGCTGGAGTACCTGTTATTAGTTAGGATTAGATGTTGAAATAGAATTTATAAGACAGTGAGTTCGACGTAATCTAACATTGAAAAGGTTTTATATTTACATGAAATCTTTGTGTTTTGTATTTTATATAATTGTTTAATTTACTAAGGTATGATTTAGTACGTAATATTATAAAATACTTATAGTGTATGCAATATACAGAATATATTCATTCCAGCTAACGTGTTAATGATTGTGGAGGATTAATAACAAATACATCTCTGTGGTTTGAACATGCAGAAAGAATTTCTAATCATTAAATTATTTGGCTCTTGTTTCCACCATATGGTGTTAGATGGAAAGTTAATCAAAGGAAACCATATACAGGTGCTAGACATAGACGAAATGCAAATAAATACCTGTAGGCCTATAGTACCATATGTTCTTTAAACATGGTGCTCAAAATAACATCCATTTTCACATGCGATCAGTGGCAAGCCTTCGATTGTCTTGATTTCAGTTCATATGATGGGATCTAAACCTTAGATTGACCTTGCCGCCATCTTTAATTTTACGAAACTTATTCTATATGTAGACTATATATCGCGTTGGTTGACTTTGACGTTGACCTCTATCACCTATAACAAACAAAAACTCATTTGAATTTGAATAAGTGCAAAAATAATTTTATTCTTTTAATTTCTTTTTTAGCTTTTGGCTGTTTCGCCAAGCATTTTGCCATCGACAAAACATACTGCTTTCTCGGGTTTAGTTTTCTTTTTTGATTAAAAGGATTCGTATAGACCCTCAAGATGTCGTACGATCCCGCTGATCCCGACTTCGAATACCTTGCCGTCGACCGTAAGAAGTTGATGCGAGAACAGACTCAGACCTTTGACGGTAAGAAGGCCTGTTGGGTTCCCGATGAAAAGCATTCTTTCCTTCCCGGTGAGATCCAGAGCAGTACCGGCGACATGGTAACAGTCAAGATAACAACTAACAATGAGGTATTAAAAGACTTTATATACTGATGTCCAAAAGAAAGTATACACACTAAAAGTATGACTAAGTTTTGATTAGATTAAAAACATTTGATAAAGCATTACTGAGTTTGTCTCTTCCGTCCAAACTCAACATTTCTAAGCAAAATAAAAATGTGAAACAAATTGACATTCTACCCAAATACCGTATACCATGGAAAAACGACTTTGGTTGATGCAGCACAAAATGCACAGTGTATACTTTCTTTTGGACATTAGTATATTTCGTTCGCTAACTATCAGATTGTAATAGTTTGCTATGATGGTCAGTCATTCAATATGCCGACAGGTATATATACAAGTGTTGGCATTTCATCAATGCCAAAGGCGAAACGATTTATTCACCGTTTACTAGATAATGGGAATAAACTTGTTCCCAGTATACATAAACACACAGTTTAAATTAATATTAATGCATTCCACTAAAAAACTTTTAGTGTTGTGTTAATTACTACAATATACATGAATATGTTTCTTGTTTATTTCAGACAAAAACTTTAAAGAAGGATGATCTCCAGCAGATGAATCCTCCCAAGTTTGAGAAGTACGAAGATATGGCTAACTTGACATATCTTAATGAAGCCGCTGTACTTTATAACTTGAAAGCTCGTTATACATCTGGTTTGATCTATGTAAGTTTTTACAAAAAAACTCGTTTGATACATTTCAGACGTTTTATTAAAACACTTTGAAAAATGGCCTTGCATCGATACATATATTTGTCAAACTATAATCATTTTATTATTTAAATGGCATTGAACCGCTTCGTCACTATAACTTAATTCTTAATATTTCTTTTACGTTTTATAGACTTACTCTGGTCTCTTCTGCGTCGCCATCAATCCCTACCGACGTCTACCAATCTACGTCCAGAGTATCATCGGTAAATACCGAGGCAAGCGAAAGATGGAAATGCCTCCCCATTTGTTCTCTATTGCTGATAACGCCTACCAGAACATGTTACAAGGTACAATTTACTATATACATATATAAATATAAGCTAGCTTTCAAACGACGGTGCCTTTCAGCCCGGGGATTGTAGCGTTCACACGCATTATAAGCCAAATCAGCTTAACTGCTCTGACATGTTAGGGGTCTGTTTTTACTCATTTAACTCCGGACAAACACTCTGGTCCGCCTTATAAAGGAATGAATAAGTTGTTTCGAGTCGCGTCTAGTTGCCGGTATTTGCCGCTAGTTACGTTGCTCTTTGGTGTGACCACAGAACTGTATACTATTTTGTAAATCATTGTACTTTTTTTTAAATTCATTTCCAGACAGAGAAAACCAGTCTGTACTTATTACGTGAGTAGTTTTGTTTTACGTATCTATCGCAATTTTCATGTGTTCAGTTAACTCCAACGAAAATACTTATTCATATTAAAGTCCACAGATTCTAATGCATATCTTACAAAACCAACAGAAATATACAAAAAATTGTAAAAATCATGGTTAAATCATCCTTATTTGCTGATACAATATCACGTCCTTGTATTTCACTTGTGGTTTTTTAAAGAATATCATTTTTTCATTCCAGTGGTGAATCTGGTGCCGGTAAGACTGAAAATACCAAGAAAGTAATTATGTACTTCGCCCAAGTTGCGGCCATGACCCATAAAGATAGTGGTGGTGAGGTGGAAGAAGAAAAGAAGGACAGTAAGAAGGTATATATTTTGTTCTTTACAAAGTCAATGTTGTACATTTGGGGCATTTCTAATATCAGTTAAAAAATATATCTTTCGTATACATAATCAAACATTTAAATATGCATTATCATCAAAATAGTATGAGGTTATACCGGTAGAAAATTTCAAAATGTAATTTTTTTTTTTTTTTCTCCTCTCCGCCCCACATATCTATCATTCCTAAATACAGGGTTCGCTTGAAGATCAGATCGTCCAAGCCAATCCAGTACTCGAGGCTTACGGTAACGCCAAGACAACACGTAACAACAACTCTTCTAGATTCGTAAGTATTATCAATTTTACGTTATACACCATTCTTCCACAAGATTATATTTGTGTTATGTTTTCTTCAAAATACAAATCTAGTGTAGTTTAAATTTACCATGTAGATCTATAGCAATGCATAATGTCCTACAATTATTTTTTATGTGTCTTTCCAAAAAGAGTAGAACAAAGGATGCCTGAATGTTGTGACCTTTATAGATTCCCAAAGATTTTGAGTGTGTTCCCTAAAATCGTGACAATTTAATGAATAGTCCTCTAGAACACAAGCACATACCCAGTCCAAATGTAGAAAGAACGATGACGGTTGGTTTTTTTTGTATTTACGTGTTCACTCCTTCACTTCCAGACACTCGAGTATGGATTTCCCACCCTTATGTGTGTTACCCTACCTATTACCTACATTATCATATTTTCTTTATCGACCTACAATTACCAGAATTTAGATGTACATCTAAACTCACCAATTCCACCCTGCACCTGAGTAAGTATGTGTGCATGTGATTTTGCAAACCAGGGGGATTTATAATTTTATCATAAAGTTACTTAAGCATGAGCCATAGGTGGGGGGTTTTCTTTCTTTTGTTTTGCACCGTATTAAATAGTTATCTGAATTGAGAGCATTATGATATATTTTGTGTAAAATAGTATGTACATACTACGGACGAAAGTCTGGATTTTAACTTCCTTCCTTTGTTATAGCAGTGTGTTATATGTTTCCGCGAATCGAATGGTTCGGTAGTCTTAACAATAATTTATTCAAATTTTAGGGTAAATTTATCCGTATCCATTTTGGTACCCAAGGTAAAATCTCTGGAGCTGATATTGAACAATGTAAGTTTTTCCTTATTTTTTCGTTAAAAGTCTACCGTAGCTAGAATTGAACTCAAGTTGTGTAACTAACACCAAGTCATTAAACTGGGCAAGTCCCCTCATTATGTAAACAAATAACATGTTTAATAATTATAATTGTTGTTATTTTATGTATATTTTGACAGATTTGTTGGAGAAATCTCGAGTCACTTTCCAGCAATCTGCTGAAAGAAACTACCATATTTTCTACCAGCTTCTTTCCAACGCTATCCCAGCAAATAACGGTAAATATAACTTAACCGCCACAAGTGTTTTCTTCCAAATTTCTCTATCCTTTAAATCTAAACTTAGATACGTGGAATTTAATATATATATAACATCAATAAAATACGTCAACTTCAACTTTATTGATTATTTGATCTTTCTTGGTTTTAGAGAAATTATTAGTGAGCCCTGACCCAGCGTTATACTCATTTATCAACCAGGGATGTCTGACTGTTGATAATATTGATGATGTTCAGGAAATGAAAGATACTGATGTAAGTTTTAACTTTTTCAAAATATCATAATAATATCACTCTTATGAAACTATCTGAAACAAATATACAAATCCCGTTATGTACTATTCTTCAGGCTGCTTTCGATGTGTTGGGTTTCTCAGCCGAAGAGAAGCTGAGTTACTACAAATGTACTGGAGCTATCATGCATTTTGGTGAGATGAAATTCAAACAGAGGGGTGAACAAGCTGAGGCTGATGGCAATGCTGGTAAATTTAATATTTTTTTCTTGTGTTTCTGCTCGTCAGGTTAAATTATATTGTAATTCTAAATAACAACGGAATTTAGAATTACTATTTATCAGATCACGGAGCCGATTCTTGCAGAATGAAAATGGGAATTTAATTCATTAATTGTCAGAAACAGACGAGGAGAATTATAAAACTAAAGCGCATTGTCGTTTCCTAAAGATAGCAGGAAGTTAAACCCTGAAGAACAACATTATTTATTGGATGTAAGTCGATTTCTTGTTTTAATTTAAGTGTTAACGTCGTCGATGTCCTTATTACTTTTCAGAGGCCGAGAAGGTAGCTTTCTTATTGGGTATCAACTCTGGTGATCTAATGAAAGGTTTACTTAAACCTAAGATCAAGGTCGGTGCAGAATATGTCACCCAGGGTAGAACCAAAGATCAAGTCGTCAACTCTGTTGGTGCCTTGGCTAAATCTCTCTACGATCGTATGTTCAAGGCTATGGTCATCCGTGTCAACAAGACCCTGGATACTAAAGCAAAAAGACAGTTCTTCATTGGTGTACTGGATATTGCTGGTTTTGAGATTTTTGATGTGAGTTTCAATTTTTGTTTTTTAAGATATTAAAATATCATATTTTGTTGACATACCGGAAGCAGGTGTGTGTTGGGGATATATTACATATATTTGTTTGTTTCTTTTAGTTCAATAGCTTTGAACAGATTTGTATCAACTACACCAATGAACGTTTACAACAGTTCTTCAACCATCACATGTTCATCTTAGAACAAGAAGAATATAAGAAAGAGGCCATCGAATGGACATTCATCGATTTCGGTATGGATCTACAGGCCTGCGTCGATTTAATTGAAAAGGTATGGCACTATATAATACAAAGTTTCATGAAATGTTTTGATTTTAATAACTTCTATGATAGGCATATATATGTATATATGTAAAAATGATTGTACATTGTTCTCTTTGTTGGACTTTTAAAAATGTTATTTTATGAATGTTTAATTTGGAACGTTTCAGCCCATGGGTATCTTGTCCATCTTAGAAGAAGAGTGCATGTTCCCAAAAGCCGATGATAAGTCTTTCAAGGATAAATTGTACAACAACCATTTGGGCAAATCACCTAACTTTGGCAAACCAGTTGGTAAGAAAGTGAAAGGTGAAGCTCACTTTGAACTTCATCATTATGCTGGCACTGTACCATACAGTATTACTGGTTGGTTAGAGAAGAACAAGGATCCCTTGAATGAGACCATCGTTGAGCTTTTGACCCACTCCAAGGAAGCTCTTGTACAAACTCTGTTTTTAGCACCAGGTAATCATTGATTTTAATCATTACTTGTTTCACAAATACCTATATAATTAAACTAGCGTGTCATAGTATGTTTGTAATTCAACAAGCTTTCATTTTCTCCGTAAATTAATTGCCTCTTATTCCTCGTTACAGAAGCAGCAGCTGGTGGTGGTCCAGCAAAGAAGAAGAAGAGTTCTGCTTTCCAGACTATTTCTGCTACCCATAGAGTAAGTTTTAACTTAGTGAATGTCAAGGTTAGGGTTAGACCGAGTTGGATGGTCTTATCGAGTGGACTTTTTATAAATGACTGCCAATTGATCAGTCCAGGCCTGGGTTTCGAGTTAACATGATGTTTAGTTAGTGTCGGTGTAGAACGGGATTTTTCTAAAGGCGCATATACAAATTATTCTTCTCTTACAGGAATCTTTGAACAAACTGATGAAGAATTTGTACAGTACACATCCTCACTTCGTTCGTTGTATTATCCCCAACGAGAACAAACAACCCGGTAAGTAGAAGGCAGAACAAAAACTCTTAGATGAGATGTTCTAGTATGAATAAGAGTGTCTTTAATTGTGCATCACACGTCATCAATTATAAATGAAGTGATTCTTTAGATTTGGTTCTTAGGTAAATGCTACCAGATGGAAATATAGCCACTAATAATATCCGCAGAAGCTATGTGACAGTCACAATCTGAGATTTGTCTCATATTTCTTGACAGCATATTGAATTGTAATTAATGAAAAATGTGTTCATCATGATTCAGGTGAGGTCGATGCCCATTTGGTACTTCATCAGCTCCAGTGTAATGGTGTACTGGAAGGTATCCGTATTTGCCGAAAGGGATTCCCAAACAGAATCATATACGGAGAGTTCAAACAGAGGTGAGTAGCTTTGATTTTCGAATAGTTGTCGACATCATTAATAATATGTCTAACGTCTATGCTGACTTTAATCTCGTTACCTTTTCAGATACTCCATCTTGGCTCCCAATGCTATTCCTGATGGCTTCGTTGATGGCAAGACCGTGGCTACCAAGATTCTCCAGGCTCTTGAAATGGACACCGCTGAATACAAATTGGGAATAACAAAAGTTTTCTTCAAAGCTGGTGTTCTGGGTTATCTTGAAGATCTTCGTGATGAACGTCTCAGTTCTATTATTTCTATGTTCCAAGCTCACATCCGAGGTTACTTGATGAGAAAAGCTTACAAAAAGTTATGCGATCAGAGGTGGGTGTAGTATTTGTGTCTTTGATATATTAGTCGTACATACGTGTAGCGTATAAATAGATAGTAGTCGGGCTTTCCTTATACAATATTTTTAAAATGTGTTTATTGAAAACGTGTTGTTTTTTTTATATTTTCATAGAATTGGACTCTCGGTTATCCAGAGGAATATCCGTAAATGGTTGTTGATGCGCAACTGGCTCTGGTGGAAACTTTACACCAAAGTCAAGCCTCTCTTGAACACCGCCCGAGCTGAGGATGAGATGAAAGTGAAAGAAGAATTGTTAGAAAAAACGAAAACTGAACTCGAGAAAACTGAAAAGGTCAAAAAAGAGCTCGAGGAACAGAACGTTACTCTACTGCAGCAGAAGAACGATATGTTTATCCAACTTCAAACTGAACAAGATAACGTCGCTGATTGTGAGGAAAAGATCGAGAAATTAATCAAACAAAAGGTAGACTTTGAGTCTCAAATAAAAGAGATGGAAGAAAGGCTACTGGATGAAGAAGATGCAGCAGGTGAATTAGAGGGGCAGAAAAAGAAACTAGAGAAAGAGTGTAGTGATTTGAAGAAAGACGTTGAAGATCTTGAAACTAGTTTAGCTAAAGCTGAGCAGGAGAAACAGACCAAAGATAATCAGATTAAAACACTCCAAGATGAAATGGCTCAACAAGATGAACAAATAGCTAAGCTAAACAAAGATAAGAAAAATATGGATGAAACCAACAAAAAGTTAACTGCCGATCTTCAAGCCGAGGAAGACAAAGTCAATCATCTTAGCAAACTTAAAACTAAATTAGAACAAACTTTAGATGAGGTTTGTAATTTTGTATAAGTATAACGTTTAAGAAATTTAGTAAACCTTTAATCATAAAGCTTTAAAAGTAGAATTAATAATTAAGGATGTGGCGATTGATATAAGATTTCGTCAAGTTTAAATAATCCTCTACCTTCTTTTATAGCTAGAGAACAACTTAGAAAGGGAGAAGAAGGTTCGTGGTGACGTAGAAAAGGCAAAGAGGAAGTTGGAACAAGATTTGAAAATGACACAGGAAACAGTGGAAGACTTAGAAAGGGCGAAACGTGATCTCGAAGAAAATGTCCGTAGAAAGGATACAGAAATTAACGGACTTAACACTAGATTAGAAGATGAACAAAGTCTTGTGGCTCAGCTTCAAAGAAAAATTAAAGAACTTCAGGTAATTTGGGCATCATTTGATTTGGCGTAAATTAGATGTATTTCAATTATAATAAATTGCAATTTTACATTAATTGCAATATGAACAAAGTATCTGTAAATTTAAAAAATATATATATATATTTGTTTTATAGGCTAGAATTGAAGAACTTGAAGAGGAATTGGAAGCTGAACGACAGGCAAGATCAAAGGTAAGTTTTCCAGAATGTGTATAGTTTGTTCAGATTAAGTCACTGAAAGTGGTTTTCGGGAAAAATTGTGAATATGCGAATATTCAAAATCATAATTTTAAATCATAAGCGATCTCTGCTAATATTTTATCCTAAATCTTTCAAATAACAATAATATTTAATTGATTTTTAGGTTGAGAAACAGCGTAATGAATTATCACGTGAGATTGAAGATATCAGTGAACGTCTGGATGAAGCTGGTGGTGCCACTTCTGCTCAGATTGAAATCAACAAAAAACGTGAACAGGAATTATTGAAACTTAGACGAGATTTAGAAGAGAACCAATTACAACACGATCAACAAGTCGCTAATCTGAGAAAGAAACAACAAGAAGCTAACACCGAATTATCTGACCAAATCGATCAACTACAAAAGGTTAAAAGCAGGTTGGTAGTGAATCATAAATTAAAAATCATTGATTTTCTCATTGTCTTCAATAACATAGATTTTTGATTAATCCTAGGTGTTATAGTCAGTAATAGACGCCTTTATAATAATTTCAATATATGCCCATTAAAAAAATATTGAATAGCTCTGATGAACACGTCGATTTATTTTTACATTATATATCTTACATTATCTATACAACAGCCATAAATTTATCAATATTTAACGAAATTGTGCTTTCAATAACAGGCTAGAGAAAGAAAAACAGCAAGCCAAAGCAGAAGCTGAAGATATAGCTGCTCAAATCGTACATGCTAGTAAAAATAAGGTAAATGTAAATCTGTGTATTATTAAGTTTTATGATCCACATTAACATATTGTTGATAGTTTTAGCATAATATCTGTAAATGAGACTATTGAATTTAACTCTCATGTGTCTTATTCTTAGACATGTTTGTCTGGTGGATTTCGTGCACTATACAGAGCATCCCTGCCCTATCCAAACAACCAAATAACGTTTCCCTCATTTAACGTTGATGGATATAATATGTCTTTGTCAGTGGCAAGTCAACAATTAAACTGCAAGGAAAATTGGATCGACGAGACCATAAACATTAAAGATTAGCTGTGCAGTAATTCATTAGAAAATATTCTCTTTATTATTGTAGGGTATGTCTGAAAAGATGTCTAAACAGGTAGAAAGTCAAATGGCTGAATTAAACGCTAAAGTTGAAGACAGCAACAGAACTATTAGCGACTTACAGTCCAGCAAAAACAAATTACAGATTGAAAGTTCGGAACTTACCCGACAACTTGAAGATGCTGAACATCGTGTGGGAGAACTTTCTAAAGAGAAGAGCGCACTAAACTCCAAACTCGAGGAAGCACAACGTAGTCTAGAAGATGAATCAAGGCTCCGACAGAAACTTCAAAGTGACATGCGAAATCTCAGTTCAGATTTGGATGCCGTTCGTGAGCAGTTAGAAGAAGAACAAGAAGCTAGAAGTAGCGCGCAAAGGAACTTGTCTAAAGCTAATGCTGAAGCTCAACAATGGAGATCTAAATATGAAGGCGAGGGTATGGCACGTTCTGAAGAACTTGAGGAAGCTAAGTAAGTACTGCATTTTATCTTTTTAAACCATGTTATATATACACCACTGGACACGTTTATGAATGAATATTTATTTTTATAGAATTCGTGTTTTCAATTTATGAATAATAATAATAAATATACTATGTTCTTATTTCCACAGACGTAAATTACAAGCTAAGCTTGCCGATGCTGAACAAAATGCCGAAGCTGCTAATGTTAAGGTTAACAATCTGGAAAAAAATAAATCCAGACTTCAGGGTGAACTCGAGGATCTTATGATTGACGTTGAACGGGTGAGTATGCTCATTTTGATTTAAAAATCATTAAAACCAATATGTCAATGAGTGTTTATTTCAAATACTTTAACATTTAATAGTTCCTGTATATATGTTTTAATTTAGGAAAAGACAGTATGTCATTTTACATAACGAAAACATATTGCGAATCCTTTTTTTTATCTTCAGGCTAATGGTAATGCAAATATGTTGGAGAAAAAACAACGAAACTTTGACAAAGCCATGCAAGAATGGCAATCAAAGAATCGCGACCTCCAAGCTGAACTTGAAAACGCACAGAAGGAATCTCGAGGCTATTCTGCTGAGCTCTTCCGTGTTAAAGCTAAAGAAGAAGAGGCACTTGAACGAGTTGAATCTTTGAAACGAGAAAACAAAAATCTCGCTGGTATGTATATTTGTACCGAAAGCCTTTTATACAAATGTTTTAATCAAGAAGACTCTGCTATAGCACCATTTGATGTATTTATGTTCTAAATGTTAATAACCAAGGGCTAGGAAAACAGGTATGAATTAGGTACAAGAGGAAAATGGTCATTTAGTTTGGAATCACACCAGAAGAGTGTTACATCTTTATGTATCAAGTCTTACATTATCTTTTTGTTTAGATGAGATTCACGACCTGACTGATCAGCTCAGTGAGGGCGGTCGCAGTGTCCACGAAGTCGAAAAAATACGAAGACGGGTTGAAATGGAGAAGGAAGAACTCCAATCTGCTTTGGAAGAAGCCGAATCGACCCTTGAACAAGAGGAAGCTAAGGTAATGAGGGCCCAACTGGAAATGTCCAATGTTCGTCAAGAAATTGACAGACGTCTCCACGAGAAAGAAGATGAGTTCGAAAGCACACGGTAAAAATAATTTTCCTAACACTTTTTTCGTTCATTTTCTTACTTTTATTTATATTCTAGACAATAAAATGATTCATTTGAAGGTGTTGTAATAGCAAAAGGGGGAGGGGCTCGGCTTCTTTATTATTTTGTTTGATTTAATATATACCGATTGATGTTATACCAGTTGGTGTCGATGTACTCCTAAACTGTATTTCATTGCATTCACAATTCAGACGAAACCATCAACGCGCCATGGAATCCATGCAAGCTTCGCTTGAAGCTGAATCCAAGGGTAAATCTGAAGCTATGAGAATTAAGAAGAAATTGGAACAAGATATTAATGAATTAGAAATTGCTCTTGATGGTGCTAACCGTGGTCGTGCAGAGATGGAAAAGGCTGTGAAACGACACCAACAGCAGATAGGTGTAAGTTGAATGCTATTTATGATTATAAATTCCGAGATAATTTTAACATTACTTTAGTAATTCATAAAGATTAAGGATCCAGTGAACTAGAATAAGCTTTGGGTGTTAAATGTGCACAAAACGTAGCTTTATCAAAAGCATATTGGTACATCCTTTTTCTTTTCAATTTTATCAAGTTCACTTAAAATCACTTGTCGACTTCTGAATAATAATTCTATCCGCGAACATCGAAGGGTATCTGTTTTTAAACACCAAAACTTATTAGCCCTTGATTTTGTTATATTTTAAATAATTAAACTGTTTATTGGCCTCCTGCCTTAAAGGAATTTGTTCCCATAGGGATCCTAAAACGAATGCTAAATTCTCTTTTCAAAGGAAATCCAAGCTCAATGTGAGGATGAACAACGTCAACGAGAAGAAGCCAGAGAAGCTTACAGCATGGCTGAACGACGATGTGCTGTTGTTAGTGGTGAAGTTGAAGAACTCAGAACAGCTCTTGAACAGGTATAATAGATATTATTTCAATATATTTTATGCATTTAAGTATACCACTCTGCCAGCACACGAATAAAAAACAAAATGTGAATACTCTAACAGGAATGATTATCTTCATCATTATTATGTCCATCAAGGGGATTATATCAAGGCTTGCTATGGTATTGATATAATAATCGAGAACTGTTTATTGTTTTAGGCTGAACGTGCCCGTAAAGCAGCAGAAAACGAGCTTAACGATGCCAGCGATCGAGTTAATGAACTAGCCGCGCAAACCAGTTCAATTCAAGGTCAGAAGAGGAAGTTGGAGGGTGATATTTCTGCAATGCAAGCTGATCTCGATGAAATGAGTACAGAACTTCGCAACTCCGAAGACCGTGGTCGAAAGGCCATCGCAGATGCTGCCCGCTTAGCCGAAGAACTTAGAAGTGAACAAGACCACGGTCTCCAGATCGAGAAGGTTCGCAAATCATTGGAGAGCAACAACAAAGAACTGCAGGTTCGTCTCGATGAAGCTGAAGCTCAGGGTATTAAAGGAGGAAAGAGAATCATCAATAAACTTGAACAGAAGATTCGCGAACTACAGTCTGAAAACGAATCGAACCAAATGCGCTACTCCGAAAGTGAAAAGAATGTTCGTAAGGCTGACAGACGTCTTAAAGAGTTGAACTTCCAGGTCGAGGAAGATAAAAAGAGCCAGGAACGACTCCAGGACTTAATCGATAAACTACAGGGCAAGATTAAAACATACAAGAGACAAGTTGAGGAAGCTGTGAGTATTTAAATGCAATTTTCATATATACGAATGAAATTAAATGAAATTGGGTTTAACGTCCTACTGTACAATACTATACAATGCAAAATAGACGGGAACAAAGAATAAAATCGACCCACATTGGGCGACAAAATACAAATCCAAGACTCGAGCATCAGCCGATTGCTAGCTATGAGGGCTTTCCCAAATGACTGATACTTGGTATAAAAAGTTATTTATACTTAACTTTGGAGATTAGATATAAAATTGCTTTTAAAAAAATTATTTACCGTTCAATCTATATTTACAGGAGGAAATTGCTGCTATTAACCTGGCTAAATTCCGTAAAGTACAGACTGAATTAGAAGATGCCGAAGAGAGAGCCGATACCGCCGAGGGTACTGTAAACAAACTCCGCGCCAAAAACCGAAGCTCTGCTTCAATGGCTCGATCTGGCTCTGTTGCCAGGACAGGAAGGGCCGGTTCAGTACTGAATTAAAAAAGGTATGCAAGATATGTGAACTTTGAGAGAGGGAGAGGGAGAGAGAGAGAGGGGGGAGATGGGGTTTAACGTCAACTCGACACAAACAAGGTCTAACATATGGTTCAATTTTATTCCAATAATTCGCTTGCACGTATGTGTTCTTTAGCAGTGGAAGGAAACAGGAGGACCGGGAGAAGACCCACGTTTAAGCGGGGAATCGAAACCACGCCGCTTGACCCTATGGCAGGCCTTGTGATTTCACGCGCACGCCTTAAACCACTAGACCAACCAACCCCACTATATATTTAAGAAATGTATCTGTAGAAATGTTTATTTTTATTATTTTTTTATATTTTTGCAGGTATGAAAGATGATATGATGCCAACGCGCGTCTCTTTTTTCCTTGGTTCCTTTACTTGGTGAATACTATAAAATTAAATTAAAATTTTGCAGCTATCTAGATCAAGTCTTCCGATATTAATTTATCGAAAGTTTTGAATCTTAAAGAAGATTGATGTAGTATTTAGTAATCATGTTAATAGATATATGGAACTCCATCTCTATGTGAATTCTATAATATACTATCGACCACTGTTTATGTTTTATTGTATGTTTTAAAAACCCCTAATCAATAAAATGTTATTTATTAAATTGAAATAAATCATTCCCTCAAGAAAGGTGGATTTGTGGACATGCACCAGATAGGGTTTATAGACAAACAGGAGGAAGTCCGCCCTCCTACCTACACCCGGGGCTGTGGGAACTAACTTCCGTCAAATAAATAAGGTAAAATCCTATCATATGTTTGCTCCGGTCCTTTCTGAGTAATATATAAAGACTGTTGCACGATACAAGTACTTGTGTATAATCGTAGACTTTAAAGTATTTCTGCAACAGGATTGGTGCGAAATACTGTCTTTAGTCTCCACCGTTCCACTGGAATCACTGGAATATGATTATCAAGTCACTTTTAACCAGAGAAATGAAGTCAGAGAATTTGATTTTATTGTCAACTGGGTCATTTCAAGATAACATTAGCCAACGGCATATTCTCTTGAAACAATTCGCAATTTGCATGCGTTCGGGCATCTTTAAGGGTGGGAGGTATAATCCACGAGCTTAGTAAGGCAGTCCACCATACGTCTTGTCACGAAGAGCACACAAACAGGTCTTATGATCTAACCCCTACCCCAACCCAACTTTTAAGCAGGCGCGTAGACGGTATTTTATGATGCATGGGTTTAAGTTTTAACTATGATCCAAGAACATTTTTCTATGGAAAATCAAAGAAATAAGATGAACTTAAACACTGTGAATAGAATTTTCAAGTCAGTCGGAAAACAAATATTTTTCAAATTCTACAAGGGAGACAAGTCTGACAGTAATTATTGTAAACTTAAAACTGTATGTAAAATTAATCGGGTGATAGTTGTACGCTCTAGAGCATTGCGCATCAATGAGACGAATGGGTGGACGGACGGACTGGGTTGACGACAATATTCGACCACATGTCAATGTGGGCCTATAAATATGATGTTTGTCTTAGGTACAATTGTTCACCTTGCAAACTCGCTTGGTTTACGGAAACGTATAACCTCTCAAAAATAAGTTAATTTTATAATCAGACCCAATGTGAAAGGTGCAGCTATAGTCTATTGCTCCGGGTGTCATGCTTTGTCTTGCTCCAGGACATAACAATACAAATATGATCGTTGAGACAATCGGCGTTTCTCGCTTAATGTTCAGTTAATGTTGTGATTTACGTCTACATCAGATACAACTACTGTATATCATTTCTTATCTCCAGACAGGGTTGAGAGATTAGGTACCTAGCCTACCGTATCTAGCACCCATCTATATTACGAGTGGGTGAGACGCTGGCCGTGAAAGTTCATCCGGATTTTCCAATGTGGTTTCCACTTGTCAGTGGTGCAGGACGGAGAGGGGGGCGTGCTGACAAGGACAGCTGTCTAGTCTTTCGGATGGGACGAAAAATCGAGGTCCGTGTATGCATTGACGTGCACGTAAAAGATCCCTTGGCAGTTGGAATTCGATATAAGAGTAAGCCATAGTACCACTGCCCGGGCAATATTCCCCTCAGATGGCGTATGACTGTATGGCATATGACGGTTCGTGCTAAATGATAAGGCCAGCTGAATTTTTCGTCAAAGGTCACGAGATGTAAACTGGGCTAGCGCTAATCCCAACCCTAACTCTGGACCTAGCCCCAATGCTTACCTAACCTACAATATCGCCAACAATCACGTGTCCTAACCTTATTTACATCTCCGCGACCTTGACAAAAATTGAGCTGGCCTTAACTTTTAGATTTAGTCGGCGTATGCCCGTCATTAGCCCAGTCGTAGCAGAACAGTAGGACGTTAAACCTCATTTTCTTTCATTTCACATTTCGAGAGGACTAACACAAAATACGATATAGGTCGAGCTCTCTTCCCAACTCGCTGTAGAGCTCGATTCCGAACAAAATATGTCCATCTTTAAGTAGATCTGACCATAATCGCAAAAAAGACTTTTAAAAAAATCTAATGTCGGTCACCCAGAACCTCCTAGTCTTCAACGTACGGAGGGTCTGGAGCCGTTGTTTTAGGACTAGTTGCCTCCCATAGACTTTGTATATGATAATATAAAAGACCGGATAATCTAGCCAATGGCCTGTCAAATGTTGACAACGCATCCAGACTAATATTCGTAGAATATTTTTCTGAATGATAGAGACTAAAAAAAACAAAATACTAATCAAGGAACATAATACTCTAATAATACTTGGATACAGACCACCATAAATTTCCCCATTGACATTAATTTTTATTAACCTCTTAAGTGATATCTTTCCGACTCTAAACCAAGAATATTTACCAAACCTGGCTGAAAATGCCAATCCGAACCATTTTCTTCGATTCAACAAAAATGGCCACGCAAAAGTGCAGACAAGAGAGAGAGGGGGGGGGGATTAGTATTGAAGGAACCTCATTAAACATACATTATGCAAGTGCTAAATCTGTCTATTGCAGGTCTTTCTTTAGGCCTGAGATGTTATCTAAATTATTAATTAGAGATTAATTAACCTATCCAGACCATAATCAACTCTAGATGGCATCGCTAGTCTGCGATCTTTAGTGGATTGTGAGCCGATTTACTGCATAACTTTCCTTCACGGTTTAACGATTAAATGGATATTCGAGACTATGCTGTTTATCGTACTGACTTTAGTAATGATGATCAAGGCTAGGCGGAAATTCAATCGCTTTGTTCTCGGTTTTCAGCAAATTGGCTTTACATTATCTAGTTTTTAACTTTTATAGTGAGAACTGCCAACTCGAATCTTTATCTAATCTCCCATAATGTATCTTTAAGTGTAACAAGATTTAATGGAGGTACAGCGGCGTGCTTTGGGTAGCCTACTAACGAAGGCACTTTGGATTTGTTTTGAATGCCTTGGTCGACATAATAGTGTGAAAGCTTCCAATTACGACCTTGTGTCAACAATGTTCTAATCCCAGCTTAACCCGTCTTAGAAAGTCGGATAGTGAATAACACTAACAGACACTAGAAGCGATGATAGCAACACCAAACTCCAAGAACAACCATGACCATATGTTTGATGGTAATCATTGGGATAATGTTTAAAAACAAATTTTTAACATTCTACATCAGTGAAAAGACAAGACAGAAAACAAATAAATACCTTTTGTTTTTCGTAAAGGGGGAAATTTATATTTGTGCACATTTACATATTGAGCTACATATCTTTAAAACAGCACAGAACGCACCGCTACAAAAATATCAATGAAAATAGCTCATTTCATACTGAATTTCACTTGAAATTACGTTTGAACTATAAGGAGGTTTAATGTTTTGTCAAAGTTCAACAAGCTATGTCATTATGATGTAGGCTTCCCTTCTGCGTGGTGACGAAATTACCTCGTTGGTTGATTTTGTAAGACTGATAGGCATAATAGTTTTTCATTTGCTTGAAAGGGTGAGTGCAGTGCCGGATTTACCATTGTGCTTATGCGTGTTTAAGCACAGGGCCCATTTTCCCTGAAAATTTAAAAATTTGCCTAAAACCTGTTGAAATAATGATTGATCAGGTAACATGTAAAAATCCTAAATTTTCTGAGCATGTCTGCCGGACTACCTGTGTAGGAATGCGGGCCCATCTCCTTCAGGGCCCAAGTAAGGGGGCTTCATAACTGGTTATAACGGGCCACTTGGCTAATTGTGCAGTATTGCCAATCACTTCATAATAGTCTTTACAATTTTACCTGCGTGGAATGGCTATAACATAGTTAAGACACATTAAAAACCTTTAATCATTGCAATTCGCTTCAATAAATATAAGATAATTGACTAAATATTATTTACAATACCCACGTTTTGACATATTCTTCAATTATGAAAGGTTCCTACTTTACATACCCCAGAACTTGATTGCAGAGAACAAAAGATGTCTCGTCTATCTAAATTACAGACGTTAAAATAAGCTGAATCAATACACCCCGTCCCACTTCTCGTTTAAGGAAGTCACATATCTAACGAATTTTTGCTGTAATATCAATTTCCGACAACGAAAACGATAATAGGTTTAGGGTCTTCGCGCAGACAGTGGGACTAACTTATGATTCAATTTCATTTTAATAATTCGCTTGCGCATAGGGGTCTTTGGCAGAGGGGGAAACGAGGTTGGACAGGCGGCCCTACCCCTTGTCACGTGTAAGCAGAGAATTGAAACCAAGACGCAATTAAAGACATTATAGTCTACAGCGCACGTGTTACTAACTAGTATTCTAGTTCTATGATAACTGACTGAAGTGACGAGTGATAACAGATACACGGGCGAGAGAGAGAGAGAGAGAGAGAGGGAGAGAGATAAATGGGGTTTAACGTCCACTCGACACAAACTAGGTCATTTCGGGACTAACATATGGTTTTAATTTTATTTCAATAATTCGCTTCCGCGAAGGGGTCTTTAGTAGTGGGGGAAACTGGAGGACCCGGAGAAAACCCACGAGGTAGATACACGGGCGAATTTCTACTCACTAATAATTCCTTCGAAGACCAAAAGTTGTTATGTGAGACTGTAATAGAATATCTGACAATTCAAAAAAAGAATTGGCTGTCACTAGGTAAAAGAAAAAGAGAAAAATAGTAATAGTCCATACATTCCCTTGTTTTTATTCATTCTATACTTCTAGAAACATGGTAATGCACGGACTTTTGCTATTTTTCTCGTTTTTTCTTATCTAGTGACAGTCAACTATTCTTTTGAATTGTCAGATGGTCTTCGTTTTCTAGATTAATGTCAACAGATTTGTTGGGAAATTGGTCACACGTTGGACTTTTTAAAGTTAAAGTTGAGTGCTGTCTGCACTGTTTACAGACGGCTTTCCAGTTACATGGAATAAGATAAGGTCGAATCGAATTAATTGGCGTCGAATACAATATAGCTTGACTATCTACAGTTCTACTAAATATTTGAAATTAAAAATAATACTCTTAACTTTCAAGGTGTTACATGATGGATCGCATTTAGTTCCTTTCGGAACGGTCTCTGGTCTAACTTTTCTGTCCGT